TTCAACATCATGAAGAGAAGGTGGGGTGTTGAATTCATTTTTAGAACAAGTGAAGTTTTAATGATGCTGGGAATAAACGACATCTACATAATAGAAAATAAAAATGATGTATAAAAACTTTAGGATAATTAAATTAATAATAATGATCGATAGATTCATTGTAAGCTGATGATCCACCTGAACTCTGAAATTTTATTCACTATTTTTTCTTCTCTCCCTATAGGAGTAGATAGGTCGCCTATCGTCCAAGTCACACTTCTCCCCAGTCTTTTGGACAAGAGTAGTGGTTTGTCCTCTTGCTCCCAGTTTAGAATTGGGTGTCTGTTCATTCGCTTGTGTTTTCCCCAATCACAAAAATCTTTATCTTCAAGTCTAGAGTTAGTCGTTATCTTTCCTGCATAGTCCTATGAATTTCACTTACTGCTGTTTCTTGCACTAATACAACCTCACACATAACCCTCTACTTTGAGTGGCTCTTGAGCCTTGAAATTGAACGTTAATGGAAAAAAAAACGATAAAAACTTTTTCTTTGTTTTTTCTTTTCAAAAAGCTGTTTATTTCCTTATCTGATGTTAAAGAGCGTTTCAAAGTTTAAGCTGACGTATTAATGTTAATGTTGTCTGCAGAAGGAGACACGGGTCATTAATAAAACAATACGGGATTTAATTTTCTGGTAAAATTTTTGTCATTTGAAAGTGCATTCTCTAAAACGATAGAATTAAAGCCGGGACATTAAATTAAAACCTGTAGCAACACCCCAATTTTTTTTTTTTTTTTTTTTTTTAGAAATATATTTTTTTTTCTTATCAAATATATTAGATTTACATTCTTCCTCAAAATTCAGGCTTACGGACATATCACGTTGAAATTCCGGTTGCCGTACGATTACCGAAGTACGTATCAAGTCACGGTGAAGTAATGGATAACGGTTCGGATTGAGGAATCGGGATTCGAATTCCAGTCAAATCCATTGAATTCACTTACGTGCTTGTTGTATACCCTAATACTCTCAGCTATGGAAAAATAGCAGGACAGACCGGGTTTAGCTTTGGTCTACCGCAGAAAGAAATGACAACCTTCTGCGGGAAAAAAAAATCTGCCTCGAAAGATACAGGTATTTATTTTGTATGAAAATACAAAATTGTGGCACAAGGCCAAAGGGAGGGGCTGGTCTTTCTTAGCTGTCTTAGTCAATCCGACACGCGAACCATTCATCCATTATTTATAATTTACACATTTACCACAAGAATTTATCCATCACTTCCAATCCTATATGCACCAAAATACCACATACTTGCAGGGGAACCTACAAAACTCCCCATGACATAAAAATTTAAAAGTCCATAAATATATATAAATAAAAATTTCATGATTCATGAAATGATGGCGGAGGGGAGATGTACACCGAAAACAAACTAAAAAAATTAACCAAAAGATACAACTTAATATTAATAGGAACCGTCACTCCTCAAAATAATAAAAGAGGCCACTGTATCAAACAGCACACTCGCTAATGGAATGGGCAGGGTAAAATAAATGACGGAATGGGAAAATCAAAGGCAAACCCAGCCAAGATAAAAACCGGAGACAACAAAAAACAGAGGAGTTTAGGAATCTCGACATGCTGCCTTGAAAGATACCTGATCGCCTAAGCGTGTATCACGCATGGCACTTAACTGACTGATTGGTCAGTACCTAGCTGGGTAATCACTTGGTGATACCAGGTACTATATGCTTGGATGTGCGGGTCGTATAATGAAAAATAACTCGGAATTTTTAATCAGAGAGCCGAGTTACAATTCCATTTGTATTCGCTATGTTCATTTAAGTGCAAATAACCTTCCAGGCAATTGTCTTTTCTATTCCAAGTTGGAATAATTTGGCTGATTCGCTTCCATTTTACTGCAATTCCATATGTTGCTTGTGTAGCATCTGCACTCATCTTTACCCTTGAATTTAAGGTATTCATTTTAAAACATCGTGAAACTGATTTTAAAAATGTCAAATAAAGTGTCGAACATGCATTTTATATTCAACTATGATTTTCAACAAAATAAAGTCAAATTTTCACTTTCCTGGAAACAATTGCTATAAACAATATAAGCACAAGCAAAAAGAGCCGAAAAAGTTCAGACATTGCTAAGATTTCGCTGACACTGCGCAACTTAATCATAATGCAATAAGAGTTTATTTTATTATATTTTTCTTTATTATCCAAGAATTTAAACAAATCTAAGGGTTTACGGCCATATTAAGTTGAAACAACGGTTCCTATACAAACATCGAAGTTAAACAACGTCGAGCCTGGTCAATACCTAGATGGGTGACTGCTTAGGAATACCAAGTGCTGTAAGCTTCGATGTGAGGGTGGTGTAATGGATTAGTCAGAGCGCCGAGTTCCAATTCCAGTCGGGTTCGTTATATTCACTTGCGCGCAAATACCCTTACGAATTCACCTCTTCTACCCCCAGTGAGGAGTTAATTAGGACTTGTATCAGTAAAAACAACATTATCTTCAAAAAAATTATTAGAATTTAAAAATATTTTCTGGTTTTAAATAATCTGCAAAAGGTTGATAAACCGTAAAAAAAATCAATCAATCAAAATAAAAAATTTAATTCTTTCCGCAATAGTTTTATTTTAAATATCTATTACCGGTTTATGTAAACTGTGGTATAGCGAGGAAGATATATTAAATAAATAAAATCCGTCATTCACTCTTACGATTACATTTCTTGGCATGTTCTTTTTTAAAATGAGCAAACAGATCTTTATAGCATGACATAAGCAATGTTTTGGTATATTTTTGCGAGGGTCCAAAAGTTTATTAAATCTATAAAAACGAACATGTTAAAACAAGAAAAATTAATAACAAAAAAGTGGTAACAAAAAAATAAAATTACCGTAAAATAGTAATATCAAAATACGAGATTAACAAAAAAAAAAAAAACTAAACCGATTTATCGTCTCTCTCTCTCTCATCAGAGCTCAATCGAGGACAAAAAATGTGCACGTCGATTTGGTGTTCCTTTCTAATCGCTGTGAACACTTTTGTCCTCGATTGAGCTCTGATGAGAGAAAACTGATAAATCGGTTTAACTTATTTTTTTGTAATTGTGTTGTATTTTGATGTAACCACTTTATGGCAATGTTATTTCGCCTCTTATTTGTTATTAATTTTTTTTTTTGTTTTAAAATATCCGTTTTTATCGCTTTAATATTCTGATGCAAAGACCTTTTGTGAAGTTGAGCACCAATTTTGTTTAAAAAAAACTTATTTTTATTCTGAATTTTTATCTTTAAGGTGTTTTTTTCTCTCATTTCACAAAAAGAATGCGCTTACACCATCTTAGCATCACTCCGACGATATATTGCAATTTACTAAGCGTAGCTTAGATGTGGCACAAGGCCGAAAGTATGGAGCATCCAGTGAGGATCGAACTCACTACTCAGTCGTAATTGATCTAACGCCGATAATATATAATGACACGGCAAATTTTTGTCAAGAGGACAAGAATTAAAACAAACACAGTTTTATTTTAGCACCGACTGAATTTGAACCCAGTATATCTAGATAGGCAATGTGAGTGTAGTATTAGTTTGAATCGTACTGCACGTAAAACTCGGCCTTGTGCTACATGCAACCCTCGTGGTGGGGTGGCTAGATAACGAATCGTACTGCTGCTTAATCTGTTACTTAAATACTTGCAGATATAGCATGTAGAAATTCCGGATTCGTCTGTTGGTATTACTTTCACATAAATGCCCTTAGGAAAACCTGAATCCATTTCTTCTCTCCACCAGGGTAAAGTGGGTTCTCGGGATTTGGGTGGCAGCCATTTTAGAACTTGGAAAACGTTGAAGTCAAAAATCACGGAGAAGGCAACAGAAAAATCACTCGTTCCCAAGAGATCATGGCAATTCACATATAAAGAAAAATAATCTAGAGACAGTCATGATCCCCTATATCATGAAGGGTCATGCAGCGGCGTACATGGCGTTTCTGTCACTTGGAACGGTCATAGAATCTGCAGCCTCTCTAAACAATACAGTGTAACCCGGATATAAGAGACCCGGATATAAGAGAGATTTTCAAACCAAAGTGTTCCCATACTTACCTAAACAAATAGATTAAACCCGATATAAGAGACTTCTTCTGCGGTCCCGACAACTCTCTTATATCCGGTTTATACTGTATTTCCAAACTGGACAACCACTACAGCCATTTATTTTATGTTCCTTGCAGATCAAAGACAACAAACGCAACAACAAAATAAGATATTTTTAAATAGTTAAAGCAGCCTAAAAAAAGTAAAACTATTTAAAAGTCAATAACAATTTTTAGAATAAAATGTTATTACATTAGCAATGCGGACAATTTGAAAAAAATCCCTAAAAATAACCGGCTCATAGTGAAACGCTCAAAAATAAATATCCATTGTGATTACTTAACCATAAAGTAGAATTCAGGAAAAAATTTGAATGAGAAGGAAAATGCTACAAATAATTTTGCGTACTACTTCATTGTTCTAAAACACCCAAATATTGCCCCCACAAAACATACCTCCGGGGTGGACAGTCTCTCTCCCCATTCTAGCTTCACCAATGGAGAGACAACATTAAAAAAATATATATTCATAGGCAAGGCTTCAATTTTCCCCATTAATGCCTACTGATATTACCACTCCACCATTCTTCCCTTTTCGTTTTTTTTTTTTTTTTGTGTGTGTGGGGGGGGGATCAATGTTTGCACAATCTAAATTTTAGTGTGGTAGATGAAAAATTGTTGATTAAACGCAAACCGTTTGAGCATGGATTGATTCGACTTTTTTTTCTTTTTTTTTTTTTGGTGGGGGTGGGTAACTTATCAAACCTTTTCACGTTATTTAAAGCAAGAAAATATATTTTTAGATTGTAAGTATTTTTTTTTTTTTTTTTGATAATACTGATTTAGTGATAAGTCTTACTGGGGAGAGAAGAGGTGGATTCATGCCTTTTCCAAGGGTATTTGCGCGTAAATGTATATAATGAACCGAACTGGAATTGGAACACGAAATTCATTGCACCACCCGCATATCCAAGTTTACAGCACCTGGTATTCCCAAGAGGTCACCCCTTTTAGGTACTGACCAGGTACGACGTTGCTTAATTTCGATGTGTTTCATCAATCAGTCTTTTTTTTAATATTCACCCGCTCAAGGGGCGCTACGGAAGGTAAAAAGATAATAAATGGGATTGCTGTGTAGACATAGAATGTGGAAAAGTGCAGATTACGAGGGTTTGTACAAAATAGATAACGGTTAACCTTAGTTTTGAAGAGGTTAACATTGCAGGGTTCGAGAAGCATCTTCTCAGGAGTCTGTTCCATAAAGTAGCGGCTCTTGAGAAAAAAAAGGTGACTGTTCGAATGGAACTTCCTCCTTACAAACAGAATAAGGGAATGAAAATGATTTGACCCTGTATACATGGCATGACAGGACTTGGATGTAAAGGTCTGAACTGATGAAATTAGAGAATGCAGCTCGTCTGAACATTTGCTATGGAAATAGCGATAGAGTAGCGAGAGGCTTACAACGTTACGTTTGTGGGAGAGGGTTTGTAGGGCGGAAAATAATTCACCGCCTACAAGCCTGCGTAAACGCTCTTGAATTCTATCGACGCTGGAATGATGATTTGGGTTATTCAAAATGAAGGTGATCAGAAATTAAGACAAGCGTTAACAGAAATAAGCTTTTAGATGTATAATTTCTACATAATGCGAATTTTCGTTTTGGGTTTGTTTTTTTTTTTTGTTTTTTTCAGACTTTTCTCCTTCCGCACTCTCCACAAGTTCCGAAACTATTTTATCAAGGCTTCACATATGCAATCTAGGTGGCGTCTCAAAAAAAAAAAAAAAAAACGCAAACCCACCAACTATTCTTCTTCTCGTCCAACTCCAGGTAGGTCATGCGACCTGTCAGCACATATCGAGGACTTCTGTTAGAATAAAGAGCGAGACTGTATCAAATGCTGGCTTGCATTGAACGGAAAGTGTTTGCTGATTAATAATAAATATCTTCATGTGCAATATTTAATCAGGTTTCTTTCTAAATATCAGAATAAAAACTTACTTTCTAGTGGACGTAGCACTTCCTTCAATTATTCCTTGAACGAACTTGAGTATTCTAAATGTAAACTATATCTACCTCAGACGACTAGTTTCAGCCATGTTCTAATCTGACTTATCGCACAATTTTTCTTTCATTTACTTCTGTTCGTTCAACAAATGACAACAATTATGTACTACAGATTTGTGAACATTAACTGACGACACAATGTTTAACTACTTAAACACTGATAACACTCTCTAAAGAGATCAGTCGAGGTTGACTGCTTTTCACGCTTATTACATTGTGAAAAAAGAGATGTTAAACCGGTAGGAATAACGCCTCGTTTGCTTAATGCATTTCATCACTTGAACATTGTACGTTCACTTTTGGAACACCCACATTTTTACGGCCGACTTCACCGTTGAACAGATATAAACAGACTGAGAGGACAAGGTCAGATTAATGGATCGAATCCAGCTTGCGTGACGAGTACTTTAACTTGTGCTGTCATATAACGACAACAGTGGTAGTGTTAGGAAGCGTAGTTCATTATCCGTAAACGATACGAAAGGGCGTTGAAAACTTCTCGGCCTATCCTATTTCTCCCACATCTGACCAAGGGATCAAACATCAGATTTTATACATATATATGTATGTATGTATGTATATGTTTCGTTAAAGATGACTGACAAGATACTACAATTGAGCTTTTTAATTTTTCTTGTGTTCGTACAAGTGTAGAAAAAATGCTTGTACCAACAGAACAAAAATTAAATAAAAAGCTTAACCGAAATGCCTTATCAGTCATCTTTAACGAAACTTGTATAAAAGAGGGATTGGAGGCCAAATAAACGTATATATATATACGTATATATATATATATATATATATATATATATATATATAAATATATGTGCATATATATATATATACATATATATATATATTTATATATATATATATATATATATATATATATATATATATATATATATAAGATGTAAAACATAAATCAATCAATCTATCCACAGGCCTATCCGATGTAGCTCCACATTTTAAAAAAATATAATAATCACTAAAAATAACTCTAAAACAATTGATTTTTTTTTTTAAATTGGAAAACTAAATTTTTTATTGATTCGTTTTCTACGGTTTATCAACCCTTTGCAGGTTATTTAAAGCCAGAAAATATTTTTAGATTGTAAGAATTTTTGCGTTGGGGGAAATAATGACTTAGTGATACAAGTCCTACTAATTAACCCATT